TGTCTATTGTTAAGCCTTTATCTTGGTTTTTGTTGATGCGGAGATTTGTATCCTAAAAGCAGAACCACACCATTCTACCATGTATCTATCTAATGTAGCACTTCTCCCAACAGAAACACCTCCCTGCTCTGCAGAATGCCTTCTCCAATGCAGGAAGAAATCACTTTCTAGGCCTGAAACAGCTCTCATCAGGGAGTCAGGCCCCAGCACTAGTGGTGCTTAGGTCTGTGTATCCCAGGCCAGAGAGGTCACTGAGGCCAGTGAGGTTGGCTTTTTGCAGCCTCACTTTCCTCTCTCCATCCAACTTGCAGGCTGCCATGCTCAGGCTGTTTGAATCTCTGTCCTGCATGGGTGCTGTAAGACCAGTACGAGAGCCAAGGGTTGCATAAACACCAATTACTTGGATGAGATTAGTCCAGCTGACTACTCGGGGGCCCTTCTGGGCCAAGACAGTGCTGCTCCCACACACGTACTGTCCTGGCACTCTGCTTCAGGAGGGGCCATCACCTTGGGACCTGGGTGCATGTGAACAACAAACTCCACCCACTGTATCACCAGCCTATGCTCTGTCTGTGGAAGTTCTGCATGCAGCCTTCTGCCCAAACCTTCTCCTGATCTGGTGCCACACACCCAAGCAAAGATTGGTCAAAGGGAATTTCAGTGCTCTCAGGCCTGGCCAAGAACTGCCTCAGAACAAACTGCCAACTTCCATTGATTATTTTCCAATTACCAAGGAATTACCAAACTCGCTTCCTCTTCTTCTACTTCTTCTTTGTCTTTTTTAATATTTATTTATTTACTTTTATTGTGGTGAAAGCATACATAACAAGACATTCACCAACATAACAACTTCCCCATTTACAGCTCAGAGACATTGATCACATTTTTCATGTTGTGCCACCATCATTGCTATCCTTTTCTAATGCTGCCACCATTAGCATAAACTCAATGCCTCAAAGCAAAAGCTTCCCCTTTCCTCCTCGCTGCTATCTGTGGTGGTAACCATTAATGATCTTTGGTGTGTATATGTATGTATATATATATATATATGTGTGTGT